TCTTGTGTTTTAAAAGTTGGACTAGGACTCTGGGAGATCAGGGTTCAAATCCCTTTTCAGTCATGGAAACCAACTTTCAGTGGTAGGCAAAGGCAAACCCATTCTGAACAAATTCTTGCAAGAAAACCTTGTGATAGGCTCATCTCAGGATCTCCAGAAGTCACAAATAATTTCAAGGCATACAACAACAACAAAAACAACAAAAACAACTTTCTCTGTCTTAAAATATATCATTAAATACAAGAAGCATTGTGTTGGATCTCTTCAAAGGTATATATAGTTCAGTGTCCTATACTCATGGAGAACAGCTTGACGCCTCTGGAAAGCTTGAGGCTAGAACAGAAATCTGGAAGATTTTAGATGAAAGTGGATTGTGCCTGTTAGCAATGTTCACTGGCCACATATATGACATTAGTCTAGAGTACTGCTTCTTAAACTCTGGGTCCTGACCCCAAATAAGTTCAATGTTGAGATTGCAAAAAAAAAGTTAAAAAAAAACCCAGTGGCTATTTTAGACATTTACACAATGTGCTTTGTGTGTGTGTGTGTGTGTGTGTGTGTCAGGAGTGACTTGAGAAACTGCAAGTCACTTCTGGTGTGAGAGAATTGTCCATCTGCAAGGATGTTGCCCAGGAGATGCCCTGATGTTTTGATATTTTACCATCCTTGTGCGAGGCTTCTTTCATGTCCTCACATGGGGAGCTGGAGCTGACAGAGGGAGCTCATCTGCTCTCTCTCCCAGGATTCGACCTTGCGACCTGTCAGTCTTCAATCCTGCCGGCACAAGAGTTTGACCCACTGCACTACTGGGGGCTCCACAATGTGCAATGTGCAATGTTTCAGTTATATTTCATAAAAAGGGAAATCAACCTGTTTAGCAAGCCTTGCAAATGCAGAATTATTATCAGTAAATATTTGATTTTGATACCGAGTTTAAATACCTATATATCTAATATCGCATAAAAATTTCTCAGGCAGAAAGGGGTTGCACTGGGAAAGTTTAACATGCCCTGGTCTAGAGGGGATCTATACATATGCATAACATCAGTTCTAGCAAATACCATTTTCCAACAAAAGCTGGTCAAAATGTGATTCCCTTTCTTTTTGACCTCCAAAGATATTTTCTTCCACCAAGCACTGGCGACTCAGCAAGATCCTTTTTAGCAGATGTAAGCAATTCACTTTTTTTTTCTTCACAAAAGGAGGGGGAATCAGAAAAAAGAGAACATGTCCCCAGACCTTGTTGTGATCCCTTTTGAAATATCCCATTTAAAAAAATATTCAAAGCTTTTCCAGTCATAGTGCCTGGGGTCTTCTGCTTGTTCTTCTTTCCAGCTGTCTTCTCCAATAATTAAGCAATTGTGATTGGCATCTGGGTGGCGGCAGCTTTTTTTCTGAAACTTCTGGATGGAGAGAAATGAAATGGAGCCTTTAAACATCCCAACATCCTGCTGCTCCATTTCTGCAATGCCTTAGCAGATAGCAGCAGGATGCTAAATGCTGTGCTTCAGTAGCAGAAGGCTTTACCCTGAGCAATTTGTATGTACCCAATTAGAGCCATTCTCTCCCACTATGCTAGTCCCTTTTAATAAAAGGTGAAAAGCTCCTCTAATAAAAATTAACCACGGCACCATTCTCCCACCTCTCAGTCCCTCTGCAAGGTCTTTTAAATTGGTAAGCAGGCTCTTTAGCTCAGACAAGGAATCTTAGAGAAGATTCATCTCCTTATGTAAACAAGTCAGTTTGGCTTGCTTCACTGAAGTGTGACATGCCAACATGTCTCTATGTGTGTATTTAATGGATAGACAGGGCTACACATTCATGGGACGGTCATCATTTTAGAAATGTTCACCATTACGCCTAGGTGTGATAAACAGCCCGAGGGAGAGATGGTCCTTCCAGAAATCTCAATTTGTAGTGGCTTAGCTGTCTGATCTAGAGTTGCAATCACCCTCAAAACACCTGCTTAGGAAAGAAATAATCCATGATACAATCACTGATAGTCCATGCAGGCTGACAGTATCAGTATAGGTTAGTGCGAAGAGGAGATATAATCATTACATGGAGAAAAAGCAATGGTAGCTCCAAAGCAGTCCCCTATGTCACTGTTCTGCATTCCTGGGAAGGGGTGTCATTCATGGCACAACATCTGCATCCACACACTATGGTTCCGTCAGTTTCTTTTTCCCCATTAGCTCCAGATATAATTGCTTACAAGCAATTCATCACAAAAGAAAGCAAAATAGTGACTTGTCATTATTTCCCTTCGGCAATTTTTGTTTTTGTTAACACAATCAAGTCTATACTTATTGACCCTATAGATGAAAGATATCCAAGTAGCTTTCCTATCAACAGCCCTGCTCAGGAATTTTAAACTCAGTGTTGTGGCTTCCTTGACTGACGACTTCATTACACAGGGGCTGCCAGAGTAGTAGGTTGCTTGCCACACAGCTGATTGGCCAAACCTCACACTGCCCATCACATGATGCAACGCTAACTTCCAGCGGGGTTCCATTGACCAACTGTGGTGCAAACATCCTATGACACTTCACCCATGACATGGGAGGCTTTCCATGTTCCATTGGGAACAATAGAGTCAATGCAGATGGAAGCCACACAACAACACTTCCCCACGTGTGACGGGGAAGCATTGCTGTGGGCGAGGTGGGGGGTGGAGTGGCAGGATTACCCCACTGCTCCACAGATCCGCCACGGAGGCTGGCGAATCGCTCTGCTGGGACTCATCAATGTGATGATGTCCTGAGTCTCTCTCTCTGGAATGTGGTCTTCCTCTTTTATGATCATCTTTTGCATATGGAAATTTTTAAAAAGCAATGTAGGCTTATTTCTCCAGGGACACAGAAAACAAATTTGCAAATCCAGCATTACAAATAACATTTACTAGCCTTTTATTTTTCCCCTCCCCCACATTTTGATTAGACTGTAGTTTGAATACTCTTGTTTGCTGTGGACTCTCTTAAGATGAAGTCCCAGAGGCATGTACTAATATTCAGAGCTATAGCCAAAGGGAAAAAAATCACCTTGAGGGAATGAACACAAACACAGATTTGTCACTTTTTTCCTGTTCCCCTACACCCTACATTTTTCTTTGTTGTTTTTTTGAAGCATAAACAGAATTACTGATTAAGTTTAATCAAAAATGCATCATCTCACTTTCCTACTGGCAAATTCTTGATTAGCTCCCTGGAAGAATATCAGCAGCAATTTCATTTTGGAGCTGAAATCAAAGGCTGTCCACACAGTCTCTGTTGGCCCACAGCTGACCGCAGGTTATTTTATTCTTTTAATCTGATGAGTTCCAGTTTGAAATAAATAGAAACAGCAACAACGTCTGTTCTCAGCAGGCATCCAAACTGCACACGTTGTTCTTGTCCCCATGCAACCCTGCAAATCAGAAATATGTTTGCCAGGCCAAACAGTAAGAGGCAGCAAGATGAAGATTACCGTAACACCAGCAATGCTGTTTGCAGTCTTCAGGGAGACATCACACAATAAGCTTTTCATTCTCAGGGGCCAACATGTTCTCCAGACAATAACTCTGAGGGCTAGCTAACCCAAACATTGTCAGATTCTTTGATAAAGTTCATACCATTGTAGGTGTGAAGTTTCACACAAAGAGAGCATTCATACTTGAGAGAGAGAGAGAGAGAGAGAGACCCAGAGCATCTCACTTCATAGACGATCACAAAATACATTTAAAAATAAATTTGTCAGATAAGAGCAGACTTGGGTGCAAAGATTTTTCTTCTACTCCACCATTAGGTGCTATCTCCACTGTAAGGACTTCGTCTGTTTGACTGCTCATTCATTGAGGGAAAGGCCAGACAAAGCACCATCTTTACCACCAGCAAATTGCCACCTTCTACTGCCCTGTACATTAGGGAAGTCACTTTTACTACCTCTCTCTCTTGACTGATCCCAGATGGGATCCTCCTGCATTTCAGAGGGCTGGCTTTCCCTTGTTTTGTTCAAGGCAACTGATGATATGAAAGATTAATTTGTAGAAATTAAAAATTGAGAACAGGCTTTTTCCTCCAGTGCTGGAAACTGGTTGGGTTGCATGACTGGAGCATGTGAACTGCAGCGGTTTTAGGACTGCCTTGTTCATTGTGCAATAGAAATGTGATACAGACACACACATTAGGGATATAAATCTTTGTTTCATTGCTGCAAGTGAATGGTATGTAATGATGTTTGTAAACAAAAATCTGTGATTTTGCATATACTGTACACAAAAATCTTTATCATGGGGTTAGCCCCACACTAAGAAAATTTGGGGTTACCCTGGAGTTTGGTCAAAACTCTAGAGCAGCCCGGTAATTTGTATACAGTGTCAGGAGAGCACAAATGAGGATCAGTTTGCTGTCCAAACTGGCTGCAACCACCCCCCAGTGCTTTCCTTGCTCTCATCAGTACAGGTAAAAGTGATGGATGTATCAGGCCTGTGTTACCCCTCTTCTTTTTCCTGATTATGTGGACACCTCTATTAGTGTCAACACAAAGGTGCCTGCAATGACCAGGAACTTTCCCAGAGCTCTACAGCTGTCTGGCAAGAGTGACATCAACGGGGATGATAATGTGACAGTCCATCAGACCTGGGTTTCATCCCAGCTATAATGTGTAGACAGTACCCCACCACTGCCATGAGCTGCAGATGGAGAGTGTGATCACCTCCAGACTGGTATGGATTTAGTGGCCAAAAGGAGCTTTACAGTAGATACTGGATATTACGACATGCTGTAACATTCAGGTCCCCAGAAGCCATCAGAGATATATGGAAGCCATTCCATATTCCTGCAACCAAGGAGTGTGTACAAATGAAGTAATCTCTAGGATGAGGGATGAATTCATTGTGTTCAGATTTTAATGCAAAATAGATCTTCAGCCTACCACTCCAAGAATCCATCACATGATATGGCCATTGACCAAGCTCTCCAGACATACCCTTTAAGAAATGCACCTTTCTCTTGTTTGCACAGATGATAGAAAAGGGAAGCGTAGGATCAGGACCACATTTACAGCAGATCAACTCCAGGAACTAGAGCGAATCTTCCAAATGACACACTATCCAGATGTCAACATCCGCAATCAACTGGCAGCAAAGATCAATCTTCCAGAAACAAGGGTCCAAGTAAGTTTTGATTCCTTTGGATGTCAGATGAGCCCACCTGGAAGTTAGCTGATCAGCTGTTGTTACTCATAGTCTGTCAAAGAAAACAGCCAGATTGCTCCATTTATTGTAGTGCAATGTAATATATTTCTTTCTGCTTTCTTTGGAGAATGCTGCCAGTTTTCAGTATATGAAAGTTGTGATGACAGAATATAAGAAAAGGCTTTGTTGTTTCTGATGCAATTATCTCTGTAATCTAGATACACAACAATTACATTGCCGCAATGACTATTTTTGCTATTATCCCAGTTGTATCAAGAAATACATTTCTCTGACAAAAATTGACTTTCCAGTAAACAGTTTCAATGTCATACATTTGCAGTTCAGCTCATTTTCTTGGAGTGAGGAGCTTTGATTCAGTTGTAAAACTGTATACTAGATCAAACTAATCTTTTGGGAGGGAGAGCACCAAACAACTCCACTTCTAAGTAGAGATGGGCACACTCAAGCCAGCTGCCATCAGGCTGAATCAGAAAATTGGCAAATTGGCAGAACAAGCTTCATTTCCCCAGAGACAGTTCTTTGAAGCAGCCTCCATCAGAACAACAAAGAAATATATTTCTGTGGCAACTGAACCATAAATCCTTAGATGAACCTCAGACTTAAAACAAAGCAAAACAACAACTCCAACCTCTCAGTCCTGCTTTAATGGTTAAATCAAATAATAACCTTTCCAGATGCTGGATAAGTTGCTATTTGGAAATACAGATCCTAAAACCTTCCAGCCAGCATGGCTTTTAGAAATCGTGGTTGTAGGATCGTGGGTTTTGTAATTCAGAAAAGTCTTACTCCCTCCATTTCAGAAGTGGAATTTTTCTTGCACATGCTTTTGTTGATCTGCTTGCATTCATCACTGCTCCCCCAAAGCTTCCTGTTTGACAACCTCCAACATTTACATCAGTTTAGTTTTTTATGATCAAAATAGTGTTTTCTTATTTTAATTTTATTTTATTTGTACCCCACCTTTCTCCCAACACAAGATGCAGGGCAGCTTTGTTATTATTGTGCTTTCCAACGCCTTCAGGTTATTTCCAACTTATGGAAACCTTAAGTCACTCTACCACAGTTTTTTCTTGACAAGATTGATTCAAAGAGGTTTACCCATGCCTTTCTCTGAGGCTGAGAGAGAAGCACTTGCCCAAGTTTGCTCAGGCCCCTTCTACACTGCCTATATCCCAGGATCTGATCCTAGATTATCTTCTTTAAACTGGATCATTTGGGATCTGATTCCAGGATATAGGGGCAGTATGGAAGGGGCCTCGGTCAGTTTCTAGCATGGAGTGGTGATAAAGAGTATGAAATCATTTTAATACAGCGCCAAAGATTTTTATTTCATGTTTTAAGACTTCATCCCATAGGATAAGTAAAATGTTTGAGATTGTTGGCTTTCCCTTAAGTTTCACCACTCCTTGTTCTGAAATTAAACAGAAGATTTTCCTACCCCTATCACGCCTAATTCTTTTCTTCACTTTATTTAAGACTTATCAATTTTATTTGTCATCACATGAGAGACATATGTCTTCCCCCACTGTTTCCTCCCCCATTGTTTTCCCTCAAAATCCTTCAACTACAGCAGTTAGGGCATCAGTCTTACCACACCAGTTTTCTGGGCTTGTTTGCCCTCAAAATCCTTCAACTTCAGCAGAATATCCTTCCAATGAAGCTGAGTTAAGGCACCCTTCTTAAACATTTATTTCAGTGGGAGTCACACCACCTGAAGGAGCATTAGCAGTTGTTTAAAAATATATACCGTAAATTACTTCATTGGTTCTAAAAATTATTATGGATGAAAGGATTCTATACTGCCGATCTCAGCTTCTCCCCTCATGACAAAATCATCAATTTTTTTTTTACAAACAGGTATCATATGTTAAATTGGGCATTTTTACATGTCTCTAAATGGGAAATTGAAAAATAAGTCAATGACCAATTGACTTAGGAGTCGTGGGAAAATCCACATTACAGACATGGTGCAATACCTGAAACCCGTAGTTTAGGTTTGCGTCATGTGATGGGTTCCATAGGTTGCCAATTCTTAAATGTGTAGAAACACTGATGTTATTGTGTGTGATGAAGTCCTTAGTATTTCTTCTAATATCATTTAGTTATTTACTTTAAAGAAATGAGCACTTGCTGAAACTAATCATTATCTCCCCCCCCCCCCCAATACATAGATCTGGTTCCAAAACCAAAGGGCAAAGTGGAGGAAGCATGAAAGGTTTGGCAATTTTGGTGGGCTGCAGCATCTAACTGAAGTTAATTACATTCCTGCTCCAAACCCTGATACAACAGTAAGTATCTTATTACCTGGAGGGGACCATACAACCATACAATGATGGCACTAAGGATGTTATCGCACACAGCCCCCAATTTCTAAACACTTGTAAAACTTTAAGGAAACAAAATACAACCGAACCCATCACACAATGCAGGGAGAATTCCCCCTGCATCCATAATGCTTTTTAGGGAAGTGTTTTCAAAGTACTGTATTAAGAATGTGGGGGGAGAAGCCTAGCAGAAATCATTTCTGAGCTCAGGAATCACTATAAAACTAGAGAAAATGGTGGAAAACACATTGGATGGGATCTGTCAAATTTGCCCGTGATGGATCACTTCAGTGACGTGGAGTAATGGGCATTCCTATTCCTACCAAGCATTGACATTTCTCTCCCAAACTCCTGCTTTGTGATAATTTTTAAAATAAATTTAATGATTAACAATACTGAAATTTCAATATATCGCCACTTTGCTTTTTCTGTCATTTCTCCTTCATAGTAATCTCAGCTTTCAAAATTGCACTACTGGTAGCCTTTTAACTTTTCTTTCTGACCTCTGTGATTGAGAGCAATGAGATTGGGAGGAAGGAGAGATGCCCAAAAAAAAGGGAGGGGGGCTGTCTTGTCTCCTGTCTCCTCAGGAGTAACAGGATTGGAGAGGACAGGCTAATATTCCCAAAGTGGTGTCTGTCTTAAGACCAGTGCCTTGGGTATATTTGGGAGTAACTGGATTGGAGGAGAAAGTCAAGTATCCCCCAAGTATTTTTCCCTAAGGGTTTTTTGCACTCGCTCATGGAATAAATCTGAAAATAGATGGTTTTGGAAGACAAGGCAAGAAAGATCAATGTGTGATGGGATCTGAGAAATGATACAATTTGCTTTTTAATGTAATAGGACATAAAACCACCATAATATGATACTTCCCTGCCCCCTTCATGGAATTAAGTCCTAAGAGTGCATCTACACTGTTGAATTTGTACATTTCAGCACTACTTAGACATAGCTCAATACTATGGAATCTTGAGATACTATGGAATCCTGGAAGTTGCAGTTTTACAAGATCCTTTGCCTTCTTTGCCAAAAAGTGCTGGGTCCTCACCAAACTACTACTTCCAGGATACCATTACGTTGGTAAATGGCAGTTAAAGTCCTATCATTAATTCATTAATTCTTCAGGGTAGATGCATCTCTGGAGTCCCCTAGCCTGTCTGAAATTTAAATATTTCGGCCTATTTAAAGACAATTCTTGAAAAACCTTCTCAAACGCATGGAAATATACCTCACCCATGCCTCCAAACTCCCAACAAAGATGCATTTCCTGTCACTATTTTGAGAGGAAATCCAGAAAATTGAGGTACTTGGGTTTCCTGTGAGGTTTGCAGCCCCATATGCATTAAACGATAGGAGTATAACAAATTAATGCAACAATGGAAACTGGTGGTCGCCATATCAGAGGAGCAGATAATCCACCTTTGTGTTTACTCTAAACCTATATGGATGCTAGGTTTCAACACTTTTGTTTACTTTTTTGAAGTTCAGACTAGACCTAGGAGAAAATTCGACTACTGCATTGGCATGAAAGCCATCTGCTGGCCCTCTTAAATGCTGGTTCATCCTGCACCACTTCTGCTAATTTGTGGGCCTACTGTGGTGGCAGAAGATAGAGAGAAGAGGGTGATTTGTAATACAAGGCAACAGTTTTTAGCGTTCAGCCTCCCCACCCTCACCGCATCAGAACAAAATTTATATGTATTACAACCTATTGCGATGCCACAATGTTTTAAATTCATCAGATTTGTTTTATTGTATTACTTGACAAAGGGCAGGAAATAAATATCTTCATAACTAAATTGAAGAAATAAGAAATTAAATAATTTTTTGACACTGTAACCATCAGTTTTGATGTTTTATACTTTTTTCATCAATGGCATTGAATTGTTGCCAACACTGTGAACTGCCCTGAGTCCCCTTCGGGGTTGAGAAGGGCAGTATACAAATATTGTAAATAAATAATAAATAATAAACTGAAATGATAACTAGGCGTTCTTTGGTCCTAGAACCTACAAGAATGGCTAAATATGTTTTAAAGGTATTTTTCCAACTCTCACCCTGGACTCCAACATACATTCTAGCCCTTAATAACAGTCTAAGACCATTGTAAGCTTGACTCTATAGATCAATTCTGGCTTTATCCTGACATAACAGTGGTTCCCAGCACAATCCAAAAATACACATATACAGTCTTCTATTATCTACACTTTTCTGTATGAATTTCTTTTTGCTTCTAAAAATTCTGCCTAGATTAGCATTTAATATATAGCAGTGGAAACCAGAGTAAATATGAGCAAGAACCTTAAAATCTGGTCAAAAATCTTTCATGGCCAGAATCACTGGGTTGTCATAGGTTTTTCAGATGTCATAGGTTTTTAAAGATGAAGATCCACTCAGAGGAAAAGTGTTCCTGCCATACATCAAGGGAACCACTGATCGCATAGGGAAGCTGATGAGGAAACACAACATACAAACAATCTACAAACCCACCAAGAAAATCCAACAAATGCTACGTTCAGCAAAGGACAAGAGGGATCCTCTCACTTCTGCAGGAGTCTACCTTATACCATGCAGCTGTGGACAAGTCTACATAGGGACCACCAAACGCAGCATTGCCCAAACACGAATCAAGGAACATGAAAGGCACAGCAGACTACTCAACCAGAGAAATCAGCCATAGCAGAGCACCTGATGAACCAACCTGGACACAGCATTTTATTTGAGAACACAGAAATGCTGGACCACTCTCACAACCACCATGTCAGACTACACAGAGAGCCATTGAAATCCACAAGCATGTGGACAATTTCAACAGAAAGGAGGAAACCATGAAAATGAACAAAATCTGGCTACCAGTATTAAAAAAACTAAAATTAAAAACAGCAGAGAGAAAAACAGGCAGGGACATTTAATCACCTTTCAAGAAGAGTTTGCTCCAGGCACAGTCAGCCCATTGTATGCTAATCAAGGTGGTCAGTTGAAAAGACTCACACCCAGCCCACTTACAAAAGCCTTTTGTCTCACCCTGGTCATTCCACAGATATATAAACCCCTTTTTTCCCAGCTCCAGCAGACCTCACCTCTGAGGAAGCTTGCCATAGATGCAGGCGAAACGTCAGGAGAAATGCCTCTAGAACATGGCCATATAGCCCGAAAAACCCACAAGAACTGAGTGATTCTGGCCATGAAAGCCTTCGACAATACATTCTCTCCTGATGTTTTGCCTGCATCTATGGCAGGCATCCTCAGAGGTTGTGAGGTCTCACAATCTCTGAGGATGCCTGCCATAGATGCAGGCAAAACATCAGGAGAGAATGCTTCTAAAACATGGCCATACAGCCTGAAAAATCTACAACAACCCAAATCTTTTTTTCATTCTAATCCTGACTTGGTTTAATGCTGCTTTTACATTTTCTGCACGATCTAAAACTGAAAGAGCTATTTAGTTGGCAAAGGCATTTTCTGTCCCCCATCTCCAGATATTTGCAATCATCGGAGGAAAAGGAATCCTTTTGTGCCTTACTGATTGCCTGTCACTATATTTTAAAGACTCCATTTAGAGATAGTCTCTGAAATTTGTTGCTTCCTCATTGCTAAAGGCTTGAGGAAATTGACAAGACAAGTCCTGTGTTAGTCAAAAATTAGATTCAAATTAGACTCTGTTAGTAATTTTATGTGGGTTTGATGCAGTTTCATTTTATGTAAATTTAAATAAAATGATTATATTAGATTCTATCTCTTTCACTTTATAACAGGGTCCTTGTCTGATGTCCAGCAATATTTTTGGAATGGGTGTCCACACATGGCATTATTCACCTGAGCAAAGATATTCAATAACTCCCTGCCTACCGAATATACTGCCATGTGGCCCTCTGAACATGGACCCTATGGCGTTCTCAAAAACTTATCTCTTCCTGGATTGCCTCCCTCCTTATAGTCTCCCTTCTCCGCCACTGAAGACACGGAGACACATCAATGCCAATTTTACATAGAAGATGACTCTGCAGAGCTCAGAGGAGCAAGACTATGATTCTCTGAAGAGCATGTTTGTCTCCATCAAGCCGATACAACACAAAGCGTATCTGATTTATATAGGTGATATCAGCTGGATTCTGATCACCCCTCTTCTTTTAAATGCCCATGAAGGTGCTCAATGAACCTTGTTAGGTTTTCATGAGTTGTTCAGTATCTCTGTATCTAACTTATCTCACTGGCATGCAGATAGGATGCAAGAGAATGATGCCATAGCCATCACCTGGGTCTCCTAGGTATATGGTTGAGATAACTCAGTTAACATGGAAGGAATTCATTAAAATATGGCCAAGACACTTCTAATTGCAAGATCAAGCCTAAAGCAAATGAAGAGATAGATCTCATTACCATTCCATAATCAAAAACTGACTGTATTGATGGGTGAATGTATCTTCAATATTGACAATGAATCAAAGTCATCCACTGCAGGCTAGTTTTTGGGGCACAAGTCAGGCGAGGTGGCACTCAGCTCTTGATTCCAATGATTTGTTCATAACTCTCAGCATCTGTTGTCTGTAGTGACAGACTTTTCTGTCTTACACGATCCTGTCCAGCTAATTTTGGAGGATGAATGAAACTTGTGAGGCTGCCCTGAGTCCCCTTTGGGATGAGGAGTATGGGAACGAAATAAATAAATAAACTTTGCCTAGATGTCCTAATACAAGAACATATACATTTTCTCATCTGAAGGACCCCGTGTATTCTATAATTCCAAGGATAGAGTCTTGGTGGTAGGTCCATAAGTGACTGTAGAGACCTGTTCAGGACAATTATATTTGGCCATGAGTGATTGCCTATGATGCTTCTATAATTGTATTGCTGAAGACAAGACATCAAGCTTTGTATGATTCTAAAACAGAAGGCTGGCATTTTTGGAAAGATGGTCTGAGATTATGGCCTTTCATCATTTACAGTTCTTGGCAATGTTACCTTCATGCTGCAGAGCTATAGTGCTGTAATCCCACTTTAATTGCATGGTGACACCCTATGGAATTGTGGAATTAGCAGTTTAGTGAAGCATGGAGCTCTCTAGAATTCTAAATACCCCACTCTAAACTGCAAATCCCAGGATTACATAGTAACAATGGCATCTTTAGTGGAATCATAAAACTATAACTGTGTGGTGTGAAAAGGATGGAGAAGAAGAGGAGTTGCTCAGTTGATTGGAATGGCTACTCAGGACTATATTACTGTTTTCACTGTGGATATGTTGTACGACCCATGTTTCACAAAACTAAAAGTACAGTTAAGGAAAGGGATAGAAATACCAGGTATAGCTTTTGACTTTTCTTATTTATGTGGAGTGAGGGTGCAATGAGGGTTGTGCAGGGGATAGGTATGCTGGATCAAATATCAGCCTGTTTCTTTAAAAGATTAAAGCACTGATGAGATGAAAAAAAATTCTATCACTGGACTTTCTGGGGTTTAAATGCTTGAGAAAAGAAATGGTAAACCAAATGGGAAAGGGAAGCAAAACATAAAGAATGAATTCATCCAATGGTTAGCATTAATACAGCAAGAACGCCTGTAATTTTTTACAGAAATATAGGAAAGTTTCATTACCTAATCATTAGTGTTGAGTAGGGCTGTACACAGATATCTTTTTCAAAATGGGCTCCGGCTGGTTTGGCTCTTTTGTCTCTCATACAGCTATAATGGCACCATTTTTTTTTGGCCACAACAGGCCACACAGCTGCTGACCATGGCTACTTTCTGTTTCTTTCAGCTACACATGTAGCACAGAGAGGTAGCTGCGTTCCCTTATGGGGTCTCCCTGTGAGTCCTGTCTGCCAATCAGAACAGAAAACAGCCATGCTGTGTCTTTTAGCCAAGCTGGGCCTCCATTTTTCTGTTGTGAGCAGGCTTCTGAGAGAGACAGATCATGCTCCAGTCCGCTGGTGATCTAGATTCTCAGTGCTGATTGCAGCCCTTCTGCATCGCTTGCCTTGCTTTTTGACTCAGATAGCAATAAGTAAGCATTTACTTTCTACACACTTGAGAAACTGCCACTGATAGTGCCCGATACATAAAGCAAACTTCAAATATGGGGTAGAGTTATCTTGCCATTTCTAAAGTCACCATAAAATGAAATAGCCAATGCTCCTTCAGGTGGTGTGGCTCCCACTGAAATAAGTGTTTAAAAAGAGTGCCTTAACTCAGCTTCATTGAAAGGGTGTTGAAGAGAAATGATGCCAGAAAAGGTGGTTTCTTAAGTCTGATGCCTTAAACCCGGGTGTAATTGAAGGTTATAAGAAGAAAGGATCCCAGAAAGGTTGGTTTCTTAAGTCTGATGCCTTAAACCCAGGTCTTATTGAAGGATCTGAGGAGAAATGATGCCAAAAAAGGTGGTTTCTTAAATCCGATGCCTTAAGCTCAGGTGTCATTGAAAGACATAAGGAGGAAGGATCCCAGAAATGCTGGTTTCTTAAGTCTGATGCCAGGTCTTATTGAAGGATCTGGGGAGAAACGATGCCAGAAAAAGTGGTTTCTTAAGACTGATAACCTTAAAAATGACAGAAAGGGGAGCCTGGGAACTTCCCACATTGCCACCACAGAGAAGACTCTGGTTCAAATCTCCCTGAAATCTTGGGTCAGTTAGAATCTATCAAGCCATAGAGCAATTCTGAGAATAAAATGGAAGCATGAACACTTGCTTTTACTCCTTGGAGGAAGCGTAGCGCTGAAACATCTGGCCCCCACCACCATTATCATGGTGCCACCATAACCTTTGCACTGCCACTATCCCTTTCAAACCATTCCCCACCCTTTTCATTTCACTCTGTCCCTTTTCTTCTGCCACATCCCCTTCACTCTGTCCTGTCCCTTTTGCACTGTCCTGTCCCTTTTGTACCATCCATCCTCTTTGCACTGTCCTGTCCCTTTTGTGCCATCCAGCCCCCCTCATTCCATCCTAAACTATTTGTGCCATCCTGTTCTCTTCACACCACCATCATTTCCTTCATGCTGCCCCTGTCATACACGCCACTATAAAAGGGAGGGAGGGAGGAGGCAAAGATGGCAGGAAGAAAGAAATGGAATGAGAGAGGAAGAAGGAAGGAAGGAAGGAAGGAAAGAAGGAAGGAAGGAAGGAAGGAAGGAAGGAAGGAAGGAAGGAAGGAAGGAAGGAAGGAAGGAAGGAGAGGGAAAGGGGGAGGGAAGAAAGAAGAAAGGGAATGAGGGAGGAAGGCGAAGGAAGGAAGGAAGGAAGGAAGGAAGGAAGGAAGGAAGGAAGGAAGGAAGGAAGGAAGGAAGGAAGTCAGTCACGTCACTCTCTCTGAGGCTCACATGAAGACAAGGGCAAACCCCATTTGAATAAATATTGACAAGAAATTTTTGTGATAGTGTCTAAAATGGCTTGCAGGCACACAACAGCAACAATCCCAATTAACATGACTATCTCATCAGCCAAAAGCAGGCCTAGGCTTCCCACTGAAATACTGGTAAGTTTGTGTTGGTTTAATTTTAAATATTGTATTTTCTCATGTTTTTTTACACTACAAATAAGGTGTGTGCAGTGTGCATAATGTGCATTCATGTTTTGTTTTTTCAAATTATAATCCAGCCCCACAACAGTATGGGGGACTGTGAACCAGCTCTCAGCTTAAAAGGTTTGGGGACCCCTGGTCTAGAATGACAAGCTTTATGAAGCACCATCAGAAGAGAGTCCCCTGAGTTTGTTCTCTAGTGATTGTCACCTCCTGACTGCTTCCTTCCACATCCTTTATCTAATCATTGTATATATATAGCCTTGTGCCAAAGATACCCCCCATACTTAAAAAAAAAGGTACAAGTCAAACAACAGTGGCAGAATGGCTTAGTGAAGATATTCTAAGTTTTTGTCCAGATTTTAAAGTTGCAATCCAAGGTGCTCAAATTATTTGGAGGCTATGATGAACACCTTGAACAACTCCACTAAAATTAGAAGAAAACCTGGAAAGGATTCTTGGACATGGTAAATTAAAATTGCCCCTGCCAACTAGTGCTAATGTGTAAGCAGACAAAAAAATTGATTTTACTCCAGTTGAGTCCATATGGATGGTGGAAGTGGAAAGAACCTGAATGCTTCAGTAGGTTTAACATGATTCATATCTATCTCTTAAGACTGCCATCAATGAAATACTCATCCATTCTCTATCTTTCAGATGAGCCCACAACAATGTTCCATCAGATCCAATTGAGGATATTTCATTTTATTTGCAAAATATAAGCCTGTTGGTTGCAGACATGTGAGGTTTATCCAGTTATATATCTGCCTTTGTAGGATCTCTAAAAATAAAATTAGAAAATCCTTTAAACTGGTGTTCCCTTGAACCCCTCCCAAATAGAAAGGGGTGGATTTTTTCAGTAACTTTGTCTCTTCAAGAGTTACCTTTATATTCTTCAACAGAGCAAACAAGAAGCGAAGGAACACACAGCACCTTTTCATTTATATAATCAGATACAATCCCCAGGTTGAATCTTCAGGGGATTTTAGATTAAACACTTTAAAGGGAAACTCAAATAGATTTTTTATCAGCTCCAATAAAAAAAATCAGCATCTAAAAAGTTGCAAAGAATTTATGGCTCTGATACTTGTTTTCATAAAAATTTAAAGGAGAAAATGCCCCCCATGGAATAAGAACAACTGCAATGAAATGCTGCCTAAAAGCCTTGGGGCATGGTCTTCAGCAACAGCATTTTAAGTGGTTTGGCTTTCCAACTACCCAGTGATTTATTAAAAGAATCAAGGCAGCTGATTGGATGAAGCACTTTTGCTCTGCATCTACAGTGACAGTGCCTCAACACCGTTTTGTCAAACCTTCTATCATCTCATTGCTCATCTTTGTTTCCACTGCCTCAGCCATGACATCAATGTCAAACTTATGCCTTCATTAAATGCACGCATTGAGACTCCCAGACCCCTCAGCCTTAAGCTTTGTTATATTTCAAAGGGTTTTCAAAACTTTTACTCACTGAAATGGCCTGGCTATTTTAATGGCTCCTGGTACAATAAGCAAAGGAAGCTATAACAATCCTTTTTCTCCAGAAAATACATTCCTGTCTTTCAAGTGTTCCTTTATGCATTGTTTATGCCTGATGCAGAAAACATCTCATTAAGGACTCTCAGCTATTCTGTACTTGTTGGTCTTGAGGGTCCAATTTGAGCTAGCGGTAGCTCT